CCCCTCCGGACGGAAGATTTGGGGACTGTATAAGTGGAGAAGATGATCGATGGTGAACAAACACCCATTGATTTTTGTTCACAAAGAATCAGAGGAGGATCACGATCCTCTACCGTGATAGGTGAATTTGGGTGAGGCATACATCATACCTTCAACAAAAGTCTAAGATGAACGGGTCCGCCGGACCCAAAGTAAAGGGATAAGTATACATCATCTTCTAAGGCTTTTCCATAATAGATTAGACGTTGTTGTTCCATTCGCGTCCCAATCAAAAGAGATACGTGTTCTTTCAAGTTCCATACTCTGCCCTGCATAACATCACAAATGGAGATCAGCACATAACCAAGAACCTTTTTAGTGATTAAAAAAGCGAATGCATGCATAAACTATGTGGTTGTGCAAACGAATATAAGAATGGTGTAGGGTTAAATATGCACAATTAATGTATCACACAAATTTCTTTTACTTAAAGAAATAGGTAACAGTTGAGAAGTTTGCTATCCATCTGAAACAGATAGTCCTTAGCAGAGGTAAGTACCTGATTGCTAATACGCAAATTGTGGGTTTGAGAATTCATAGTTTTTACTTTTATCTCAATCGTCGTATCAATGCCTTCAGATTTATGGCGCTCAGAAGCTTCACCAGTGTGAGTCATTTCCTTTCAACATCGCTTAAGCACCTGAAGCAGGTAAAAGTTATTAGATTTTAGTGTTTCTCGGTTGTTTATGCGTTCAACATGCAGATCAAGAAAGTTACATCCTCAACACCAATATGAGACCAGAAAGTTACAATGAAAATGAAACAATTATAAACAAGCGGTCAGGTAGTTTAGCCAAATTTCAACTTTGATCCATATGTCATGGAGTATAGGGAAAACTTAACAAGTTAACCGGCTACTGGTCTTAACCATACAGATGGAAAGTAACATTTATTCGAGAACCAGTCCCATTAATTTTAAGTTCTTACCATTATATGTACATATTATATCGAAATCTATCATTACTTTGGAGCTTATTAAGAATTCTAATGTCAACTTACAATGTGTGCATCCTAAAAACTTACATATAATAAACGCCAGAGAAAATAAGGAGAGACAAGGCGAAAAGGTTACCACTAATGAATCACAAACAAATAAAGGAAGGTGAATAGATCCTACAGATCTTACAGCTTATGCAGAAACCCTAACAAAACTTATGCGCAGGTTATGTATGGTTATTGCACGCATATGGATACGACCTAGTTTGATGGTGCTACACTGTAACAGGGATAAAAAGACACATATTCATCTAAACAAAAGTTTTGCATGGCAGTATGTATATAGATTAGAAAGAGGTAAAAGCGAGTAAACTACATTTTACTGCCAGATTTGGAGCAATGACTAGTAATAGGTCGATGCGCATATATATGGGAAGAAACAGGCAGGCTCATTATGAAGCTAAAATCAAATTCAACAATCAAGAAAACAACCAATTCATGAAAGTTATTTCATTCTACGGCTTAGATCAAATGAAAATTCATTTTCCAAAAGGTGCAAGGTTAGGCGCACATCACGATTCGATCATTGACATAGACAACAACTTGGTATATAAACGGAGAAGGGTAGAGGGGCAGGCCCATATGTTTCGAACCTTGCACCACAGACCCTCGAGATATCTCTCCTACTACAAAAAATCATATCATCTTTTAGCACATGCATGATGCGTTTTCATTCGTGAATTTTTTTTCTTGAAGCACTCAACAAACTAAAATGCCTAAAGCAAAAGCTCTTTTAAGTGTTAACACAATCCGGATTGAAAAAATTGAGAGAAACACTCAAACACCCAAATTTTATCATCAAAATAAGGACATTCCCATATATGCGGTTTTTGATACATAAACTGAATGTAGGGTTTAGAAATCAAGACTTCAGAAACTCCACCAAAAAAATTCAGATAGAAACAATCAAACTAAAAATTAAGAAGCTTTATCAAAAACCTGAAAACTCCCCACAAAAATTCATCACTCAATTCACTGAATAAAAAAGGTAAAATCACTGGGTAATAATTACCTGAAGAAAAAGAGAAGAAACTTATGTAGCGCCTGTTGGGATAAAAAATAATCTCGCTCAGGAATAATATCCACAGCAAATAATAATAACACAAGAGAGTAACAATGAAACCAAATATTTTAGCGGGATAAAATACAATACCCGAGTGGAGCAATATTACCACTATAATATTACAACTCAGTAGTGTCAAGAGACTACTACAACTTAGAAAGAAATAACACTTTTTATTTAAAACACCTCACTACAATATTACTACCACTCACTAGTTATCTCACAGACCACAATCTGTGGATTACTCTCACTGATTTATGCTTCTCTCGTTGTTTGGTGTGATTCAAATGAAGAAACGAGGCTGCTATTTATAGAAAACGTTTCCTTGTTTTCAGTCAATCATGGCATGCTTTGAAAGTTTGTTTTCAGTCAATCATGACATGCTTTGACAACTTGCAATTGCAAATTGGATTTGCAAATTGCATCAGAAATGTAGGCGCCTAACTTTGCCTTTCTCTTATCCAATCAAGTTTTTTTTTTCTCTTTTTCATTTGTTATTTTTATTTAGGGACCCTACAAATCTCTCCCTTAATTTTTATTTTTCTTCTTCATTCCAAGTCTTGATCTCAATCTTTGAAAAACTTCAAACTTAAGAGGCTTTGTGAAGATATCTGCAACTTGATCATGAGACTTCACATATTTGAGCCCGACTTCCTTCATGGCAATGCACTCTCTGATGAAATGATACCTTGTATCTATATGCTTGCTTCGATCATGATATACCGGATTCTTGGCGAGTGCCTGTGCAGATTTGTTATCAATACAAATCTCTGTAGCTTCCATTTGTGGCAAATTGAGCTCCTTGTATAATCTCCTTAGCCAAATATCATGACAGGTACATGATGTTGTTGCTATATATTCAGCTTCACAAGTCGAGAGAGTAACAATGGACTGTTTCTTTGAACTCCAAGAAATAACAGAATCACCCAAGAAAAATACAAAACCAATTGTACTTTTTCTAATATCAATATCTCCCGCATAATCAATATCACAAAATCCCACAAGGTTGAAATCATTAGAAGAAGAATAAAATAACCCAAAATCTATCGTACCTTTTAGGTAACGAAGAATTCTTCTAGTGACCTTCAAGTGAGTAGAGGTAGGAGCCTCCATGAAGCGAACTACTCCAACTGCAAAAAGTATATCTGGTCTGGTACAAGTCAAGTACCTCAAACTTCCTACAAGACTTTTAAAGAATGTGGGATCCACTTTTTCTCCTTCATCAAACTTGGACAATTTTGTCCAACTTTCCATCGGTGTGTTCACGGGGTTGCAATCGAGCATGTTGAACTTCTTCAATATCTCCTTTGTATAGATTTCTTGAGAGACAAAAATTCCATCCTACATCTGCTTCACTTCTAGGCCCAGGTAATATGACATGGGCCCTACGTCTGTCATCTCGAACTCACGGGACATATCTTTCTTGAAAGCTTCAATCAAACTTGGGTTATTACCCGTGAAAATAAGATCATCAACATAAAGACAAACAATTAAGATATCTCCATTAGTATGAACTTTAAGGTAAAGAGCATATTCATGGAGACAACGAGTAAACCATTGTCTTGAAAATACTTGTCGATGCAACTATTCCATGCTCGTGGGGCTTGCGTTAATCCATATAAAGCTTTCTTCAACCGCAACACTTTATCTTCATGGTTTTTGACCACGAAGCCTAATGGTTGTTCAACATAGACTTCTTCTTCAAGATAGCCATTCAAGAAGGCTGGCTTGACATCTAGTTGATGAATCTTCCACTTTATTTGCGCCGCCAAAGAGATCAGCAAACAAATAGTCTCCATGCGGGCAACAAGTGCATGACTTCTTCATAGTCAATGCCTTGCCTTTGCTTGTAGCCTTTATCCACAAGTCGTGCCTTGTATCTCTCCACATCTCCATCAGCATTCTTTTTTATCTTGTATACCCATTTCACTCCAATTGCTCGATGACCCTTGGGAAGAGTTGTTAACTCCCAAGTGTTGTTCTTCTCTATTGACTCAATCTCCTCCTCCATGGCTTGTCTCCACCTTTTGTTTGTAACAGCTTCATCAAAGTTCATTGGTTCACTGTCAGCAAAGAGACAACATAAAAAATCAAAATTAGTAACTTCTTTTGTGTCCTCATAGAGCTCTTAAATGCTCCTTGTCTTTTGCGG